AGTCAAAGTCCAATCATCTTGCAGAAAAAGCCTTGGTAGAAGTCCTGATATTCAGAAGAGCAGCTGCCAGGAGTGCTAAGCACTAAGTCCCTCACAGGAGAGCTCTGCACATGCAGTACTCACACGTTACGGGAACAGAGCAGGCACTCGTTGTCGTAGGTGACCCCATCGGTCCCACAGACAGGGCTGAGGTCTTTGGTGCAGAGCAACACCACTTTGCCTTCCTCATTTGTTATGTTGGGATATCTACTGCAGTCCACCTATTGAGGGAACACACAATGAAGCACTGGTGAAGGCTTACTTATAGGAAGCAAGTAGGTCTGGTCTGTATGTCAGTTTGTCTACCTAGGATACCACCACAGCAGAAAAAATGCTTTTTTTGTGTCTCACTATGATGAAAGTTCACTTGAGGATGACCAATGCAAGATTCTGACATCTCATATGTCCTCTTATTTTCTTGAATTGTTTCTTGGGGGAGTCAATAAGCAGCTTTGGCCACTCAGAAGCAGGACATGCCACTGGTTTTGCCTTTGGTTTTACTTACAGGGACAACTTCCTTGCATTCTCCATCGTGGTCTTTGCCGATACTGGTTCCATATTCTCTGGAGAGGGAAAGACAAATGTTAGGAAATCCAGCAAAGACATCTTGCTACATTATAGGTGCTGGAAATACGTAATTAATACAATGGAAAGCTGACTCTTCATCAGTGAGGCTTCTATATATTTTTTGAGAAGGTAGTACTGTCCTCCCTGACCAGCTAGCACTGGGTGGCTGGCAGGTATGTCAAGACCCCAAGAGCTTTAGGACCATTTTGGGCAGTTCAGAGCAGACCATCTCTCCATCCTTTTGCTCTGCTTTGCTGTGACGAGATGTGCCCTAGGGGATGTCATCTAGCTGATCCTTGAGCTGGAGAAGAAAAATCTAAATAAATTACGCTAGCAAAAGAGAGACACGGTGACTAAAGAGATGTCTAGGCAACGGAGTGCCGCACAGTGATACCCAAGCTCATTTTGAAAGAATTAACAGAGGTGACATATTTCTTGAAAAGTGGTGCTGCCAGGAGTCCTAAGCATTGCTGCCTGAGATCTCCTATGCAATACATACATGTTGTAGGCACAGAGCAGGCACTCATTGCTGTAGGTGACTCCATCGGTACCACAGATAGGGTTGAGATCTTTGGTGCAGAGCAACACCTCTTTGCCTTCCTCATTTGTAGTGTTGGGATACGTACTGCAGTCCACCTGCCAAAGGAACGTACAGCAACAGGGTGGAGAACAGATTTTACATTCACAGCTCTCATTTTGCACGAGACGGTGACCAGATGCAAGATGTAGTGGGTTTTTCACTACCACAGCACAAACTTGTGCCGGTGGGTCAATCTGGTAAGGGTGAATCCGTCCTGCAGAGACCTCCTCACAGAGCAGAAAAGGAGAAGGAGAGGGCATGCAGCTCCCCAGACAGGGTTAATCAGTGGTGGTCTCTCATGCTCACTTGGCATCATTTTACATTGGTCCCTTGTTCCTATGTTCTCATGGCCCCTTCCAGGGCACTTCTGTTATTCTTTCTTTCTCAACTTTTTTTTTTGTTTGTTTTTTTCAGACTAATGGCTTTTTTAAAGTCTTTTTTAGACTAGTAACCTGGTGTGTGGAAGCTGGACTGTCTCATAATATTTTGTTCTTTCAGTAGCCTGCCTTCGGGTAGGTTCTGATACCACAGTCTGTTGCTATCAGTTTACAGACCAGCTTAAAGTTTAGACCAGTTTAAAGTTGGTGAAAAATCAACTAATCCAAAAATTCTGGATTGTTACTATTACTATATTATTAACATATAGCTTAAATGTAGAGCCAAGAACAGTATGATTTAACGTTTTACATTGTAGAATCTGATTACAATCACACTAATTTCACACTAGGTGAAAAACAGCTAAGAACCTACAGATCTGAGGTTTTTTCCATTCTTATGGTTATGTCGTTATTAGACCACACATCTCAGACAAGTGACAGAAAGAATCTTCCACTCACCTCAACCCCAAAGGCAGCATCTGGAAAAGAAAAGAGGGGCAGAAAGTGTGAAAAAAAAGCCAATATGATAAGACCTCAGTCAAAGCTGGAAATCTAGATGTAAAATTCCTATAAACAGGACCAAACGAAATGATTTCCAGTGATTGGTTTCCTGAACTAAATAAACTATGTATGATTTTTTTTTCTATGTTGATAAATATAATAGCATTGCTTATCACTGGCTGTGACAAAACAAGTCTTTGAATAGATTTTTTTTTTTTTGGTTTTGAGATAGGTAGACTTATTAATTGAAAATAGAATAGATTTCCCTTCCTTATCTTTTCACATATCCGTTTTGACCCTAAAGAGCTGCTGTTACATATCTGAAAAGAAACCCAAGGCAATACATGCAAGATAAATGCAAATGCAAATAGTCACCTACAGGACAAGCAAATACATACAGCATCTATCGTCTGGAATATGCAATTCTAAAGAAGCTGAGTGTGAAAAAAAAATTATCTTTGACATTGTAATTTCATCAGATGTAAATATGCAGTGAAAACATCAGACTCTGGCTTGGTTTCATCTCCTGTTTCTCCATTAGCAGCAAAGGCATTCCAGGAAAATTGCCAGGCTCCTGCAAAGAACTTGCTTGTGCCATTATGATATTTTCCTGATTACTTACTGGAGGTCTGACCACCTCGTTATGGACTTGTTTCAAGTACAACTGGATATATATGGAAGCAAACGGACAAATACAACAAAAGTAAGCAGTGTAACAGTGTTAAAACAGCAGTGTGAAAGGTGTGACAGCACTGGTTACCAGCATAGAACTTCACTTGCAGTTATTTGTATTTATGACAGACAATCAGCTACAACAGTGATTCATTTAAGATTGTCCTGAATTCTGCTCTTGCATCCTATGCTATTCCAATGTACCAAGGCAACCTAGCTCTTTGTAGAAGATTTTATCCCTTTGAAGCCACTATCTTATCCTTTTAAAGATAGCCAGGACTCAGACATGAAGCCTCTGGGGCACCTTGAGAGCTACTCACCTGGGAAGCAGCAAAGCGCAAAGGAGAGGAGCACAAGAACACCTGTCATGGTCATGGTGGAAGGATTTCGTGAGTCTGCAGGCTGCCAGCTCCTGCTCTGCTCGTGAGATGGTCTCTCCAAGGCTGACGGCAAATATATACAAATGCAATGTCTAAACTGTTAAACTGTAACATAAAACAACCAGCAGAATCTGTCACTAGTACAATGAGGCTGGTAATATTTATTGAGGTCTTGACTTTCAGGTAATGGTCTGTATCTGCTAGGCAATTGATTTTGGCTGGACATTTGGTTAATAGCTTGAGACAAGCATCACATGTTCTCAGTGGTCCAAACCAAACAAACAGCCTCTTAGACAAAAGAAACATCTTTAGGATTTTAGTAGAAATGTAAGGTGCACAAAATATTGAAGGGAGAAAACAGCAAGTCTTTCATTTGTCTCTGCAGAACAACATCTCCCACCAGGGGCTTAGGCAGAGCATGCAGTACTACCCTGTTTGCAGATCAGGCTGAGTCCCTGCTTTCTTTTCTGATTTTAGGTGGTTTTTTTCGCTGCATTCCCAGATATTCACAACTAGGTATGAACACAGGTCAGGTGTGGCTTTGCCATCAGCAGAACTGGTTAAGCTTTGTTGGGTGAGTCTGCCAGACTGTGTCTAACTTGTGAAACTAATGGTATTTAGCACTGGTTCGATAAAAGAAAGAGCTTCTTGACAGTTTCACTGCCTGGGAATAGAAGAGCTCAATAGCAGACTTGAAAGCAAGTTAAATTCTGCCAAATGCCACTAAAAATGTCACTTGAACCTTACCAGCAGGGAGCACTTATTTACAGACCTAGTCACTGTTAAACCACTGACCGATTCAAAGTGTTCCGACAAGCCATCTTAAGAACAAAAGACACTGAAGGTTTGGGGACCTATTTACATAGCACCAACTACACTTTAAAGTACAGTAGGTCCTTTCCCCCTACAGACATTTTAGAAAATGATACTTAAAACATAGACCTTGTCCTCATTTTCAAATCTGTCTTGCACCTCCACACTTTGTGCCATCTCCAAATTGTTCCTTCCTAGGATGAGGTCTGGACCTCTGCTGTTTAGTAGGTGTAATTTTGCAGGGGTGGGTTCTGCCTTTAACTGAAGATTTTTACCACGATCCCTTTCACATGTCCAAAATGGCAAGTATACCTGTGTTTTCTTGGTCATGGGAGCTAAGCGTTTGGCTTAGGATAGACTTCAGCACCATGGGAGCTTGCAGAGCAAAAGATGCTTTACAGGTGCTCCGTCAGACAAACAAGGCACCACCCATTAATCAAGGGAAATTCAGCTGAAATAACTGAAAGTTAGTCCAAGCAATTGTGTTGGTCTTTGATATATCATAGTGGTCTAAGGGTGTACTCTGATAAATTGTATAGCATGTGGAGCCACCTGTGCTGGTCACTGGCATGTTACGAAGGCCGCAGCATAGCTGTATGGATATATAGGTTACATTTTACCTAAAAGAGATGGGTTTCTTCACAGGGAGAAGCATTAAAATAATTATGCTGCTGGGGTTTTTCTATAAATTACAGGGAGCATGCATTAATATTTTAGACAGATTTGGCACATCTTCAAGATGTATTGCCTTAATGTCCTTTGTGGATGGTGTCTCTGGAAGCCAAATACTTTTCCCTAAGTGTGTACAGGAGCACGCTGAGGCTGCTGTCACATGCCGCTCTTGTTGCCTTCATCAGTTCATACGTACAGTCCCTGAATTGTTGGAGGAAGGTACATCCTTTTGGGTCAAATATGAACTTTGCCACTGCCTTCTCCAGCCAGGCAGTGAGACCTTCGTGAATCATCCTTGCCAGCCTTCCCAGCCTCGACCTGGCGGCTTTAGACAGGTTGCCTCCTGCCTGGTGCTCTCATGCTGCTGCTCCAGGTTGCTCCCTCACCTGGACAGTGCTGTCCTCTAGGCAGGACTGACCTCTCTCCTCACAGGTGAGGAGCACCTTCCTGCCAAAGGCTGGTGTGTGTTGCCTGTATACATCAGAGAAAAAATTTCCACTGCAACTGCCAGGTTCAGCACTGGGTCTGGCACTCACTGGCCCCAAGCGACCCAGATTTCCTCCGACCACTACAATGCCTGTCTGATGTTGAGCAGATCCATTCCTTCACTCCCTTACCTACAGACACTGTACAGAGACTCGAGTCTGTGACAATTAAGTGCTGTCTGGGGAACACCAGTCAGCCCTGAGCTGCTCAAGCACCAGCTGCTCAAGCACCCTCTCCAGGCAAGCCACAAAAATGACACCCAGAAATCAGGTTTCAGACTCATGCACAGCCTCCCAACGTCCACAGCCTCCCCATCTGGGGTTATAGCTCCAGATTATCCTGCCTCTGATAATAGCGTGGAAAAATCCCACAGCTGGCTAAGCTCATGCTCTAGGACAGGTTGCTCAGTTCTTTCTTAGCTACTCCTGGAAGAACAGATAGAAAGAGGATTTGGTTTGTAGTCCTGCCACTGATCTCATGCTGTAATCCACTTCATTACAGTCTTCTAATCCTCAAAGTCAGATGTAGCATATGGCTAATGACCATTTGGCTAAAGGAAAACCCTCCTGTGTGCAGAAGCCAGCACGAAAGCAAGGATCTGCAAGTAAGCAAAGGCAGTGCCATATCTCAGGGTACCACATAGAATCATAGAAGAGTTTTGGTTGGAAGAGACCTTCAAGATCAAGATCTGTGGGCTGACACCAGGGCAGGATTTGGCCATTATACAACATCCTCTCTCACTTACCCAAGGAATTTCTTTTTTCACATTTCCCATTGCAGTTTTTGCTATTATAAATTCCATATTCTCTGGAAGAATCAAAAGTGATGTTGGGAAGTTTTCTTGGCAGATATGCGACTTACCAGTGTAAGTAATACACTGATAAATGAATGACAAATTATTTAATACATTTTCCCAAACATTCCTTGTTTTTGTCACATTATTTAATTAACAAATAGCTGTTGTAAAAGTGGGAAATAACAATCATTAGTTATGGCTGTTGCGTGAAATTGCCTCTAATCACTCCAAAATGCCTGCTAAATACAATTTAGACTGCAGTTTCCATCTTTGCCTTTCTCTTGGCTGCAGTGTGGCAAATAACTGCTTGTACTGAGCCATGCACCTGCAGAAACAGGTACAGAACACATGGAAGATCTGCCTCTCACCTAGTGCCTGAAGGCACCATTTGAACTAACCAATAACACAAAGTCACCAATATGAATAAAACATATCGATATGAAAACATATCCATGGCTTTATTAACTTATTAAATAGAGGTTTATTCAGGTAATGCTGGTGAATGTTTTCCTGAACTAATAAGACCGTGTGCAGAACTTTGTACCCTGCAGGTGAAGGCTAACATGGTTTCACATTACTTATGCAATGAGTTAAATGTACTTGGCGCCACTGCAAGAACAAATGTTGACACAGGGGAATGAGTCCAGCAGAGGCCACCAGGGTGGTGAAGGGCTGTAGCACAGGCCATCCAGGGTAAGCTGAAGGAACTGGACTTCTTCAGTCTGCAGAAAAGATGGCTATGGGAAATAACATTTCTATCTGCAGCTCCCTGATGGGGTTATAAAGAAGACAAAGCCAAGTCTTCTCAGAGCTGCACAGCAAAAGGATTAAATGCTGATTGAATATGAGGAATTATTCTTCACCACAAGGGTGATCAAGCAGCAGTGCAGGAACCAGAGGGGCCATTCATGTCCTTCCTTGGTGATATTCCAGCTGAAGAAGGAAGACCTTGAACACCTTGAGCTGACTTTGGCTTTTCTTCGAGCAGTGTTTGGGCTAGAGACCTCTAGAGAGCCCTTCCAAGCTGAATTATTTCATGTATATGGTAGATATGTAACCTCTCTTCTATGGATAGTTTTTATTAGTGAAGGAACATAATACTTCTCCACGGCCCAGGAAAGCAGCCTCAAGACTTTTCCTATAACCTTTGCTAAAGGGCCACAGGTAAGTGGTACAGAGATCTCCCAGCATGTTTTTACAGGGGATGACCAGTAGCATGTACAACAAAACCAGCAGATTGTAATCATTGTTTAAAAACCCCACACACACTAAACTATTCAAATTTGGGAACATTATTAGCTCTCAATGATTTCAAGTCTCTCCACTTCTGCAGCACAGGACCCCTGCCATCACAACACTTCCCCTGAAGAGCATCAGCATTCAAACCTATAGCAAAGTTATCTGCACCACAGAAAATCAGCTGCCAAAATGGCAGCCACTTTACTGCTGTGCTGCAGCCTGGACCAGACATGGGTCTCAGCAGCACCAGTTCTGAGGACATACCTTCACTTCTTGCCTTGCCAGCTCCTGCTGTGCTCCAGCTCTGAGCAGTTTCTGGACAATGAGGACATCAGGTCAGGGCTCCATTGCACTAGAAAAGAGTTACTCAGGTGAAAGCAGGCAAATGTTGGAATGAGCAGCAGAAAAAGGAGGCACTAAATAGCAAAACATTTGGCTGGACAACAGTCCAAGCTATTGCTCTTTGAAGCGAACATACTGCAGGGAAGGGGGTTTGCAGGTAATGCAGGAGATGTTACCTTGCAGCTGATCAGAGGAAGAGGAAATCATTGATTTAAGCAGTTTTCCTGACACTTCAGTGATCTCAGCTGTGCATCACTGAGTGCTGGTTTCATCTTTGCCACAGCCCAGCAGGAACAATGAGGAGGTGGCTTGGGGGGAAGTAGCAGCTAACCTGGGATTGACACCATTCATGGCTGCCTGGCAGGAGAAAGTCAATCTGGCAACTTCACTGCTAAGGCTGGGAAAGTGTCCTTCAGCAGCTGGGGTCAGGAGAAAGTCTTCCAAAGCTAGAAAAAAGAACCCTTTCAATAGATTCTTATCTGCAAGAAGACATTATTTATAGCTCAATGCACAGTTAAAATAGGACAAATAAGCATGTTCTGCCATGAAAGCAAACTGTTTTGAGGTTATATAAACCAGGGGAATAGTTGAACGCATCTCCAAAGGACAGCAGATTAGCATTTTCAAGCTACCAGTCATCCAGCAGC